GACAGCCGCCCGCCGGCGGGCGCACAGGCCGGGTGTGCGCCGCTGCCCTCGGGCTGCCGAGCCGACCGACGCTGCCGGCGAAGGCCTGGCGCCCGGCGCAGGGTCAGGCTCCGCGCTTGAGTTCACTCTGGCCCTGCCTTCGCTGAGCTAAACTTAGGGGCTGGCACCCGGCCCTGGCCTCGCATGCCCAAGGGTGGCCTTGTATCCACCTCTGCAACTATTTCCTACAGCGTTCTCCCCTTCTTCTTTAATTAAAAAAAAAAAATTATCTTAAAGAGAAAAAAAATTGAAAACAGTAGAGTAACAATGGTTAATACATTGTGTATTGTTATCTTTAAATTACTCAGGGTGCAAGACTTAGGCATTTAATTTTCCAAACAATATTGGCCTAAACTTTTCTTTTCAATGTACTAAGAAAATTATTAATATAACTATCTTAACTGTATATCCCTTCTTTTCCCCTTTCCCCATCTCAGTTTCTCTTTTCTTTCAAACAGTTTCTTCCCATTTTACAGTATCTGTTATACATTTTGGATTTTAATTCCTCTTTCAGGTTCTCAGACTAGGGAGACAATATATTTGTACATGTGAGTCTGATTTATTTCACTTATGAGTATGATCTCAGATTCCGTCCATTTGCCTATAAAAGCCTCAAGTTTACCCTTCTTTATGTAGTACCCCATTATATAAATCTTCCACATCTTTTTTTATCCATTCTTTGGTTGATGGGCACTTGGATTGTTTCCAAGATCTAGCTATTATAAATTGTGCTGCTATATAAACAGTAGATGCATGTATGTCGCTGTGGTACGAAGTGTTGAGGGGAAATAGCTGGGTCAAATGTGACCTGTATTCCTTGTTTGTTAATACTGGAAATTGAACTCACTACCTCATGCAGGCCAGGCAGCACCTGTGCCCCTAAGTTACATCCCCTGTCTGTAGTCCTAGTTAGCTTCTTTGAGGAATCTCCACACTGATTTCCACTGCGGTTGTCCAGTTTACACTCCAGCCAACGGTGGAGAAGGGTTGCTTTTTCCTCACAATCCTCCAGCATTTATTAATGGCTTTCTTGATGATAGCCATTCTTTGGGGTAAGATGGAATCTCAGTGCAAGTCACCAATGATGTTGAACATTTTTTCATGTATTTATTTGTCATTTCTACTTCATCTAAGTAGTGTCGGTTTGTTTCAGATGCCCTTTTTGGAATGGGTCTTTAGATTTGGAAGGCCTGATTTTTTTTTTTTTTTTTTTTTTTTTTTTTAGTTATTTGTTCTTGGTAATAATCCTTTGAGCAACCTTGTAGTTCCACATTGTTGGTTGTCTCTTCACTCTGGTGGTGGTTTCTCCTGTTGTGCAAAAGCTTTTTAATAAGATGAGATCCCAGTTCTTCATTCTTTGCGATACTTCCTGTGCAATCCGGGTTTTATTCATAAAGTCTTTGCCTACACCAATGTCTTCATAAGTTTTACCTATTCTATCTTCCAGCAGATTAATGTTTCTGTTTTAATATTTAGATCGTCGATCCATTTTGAATGTAGTGCATGGTGAAAGATATGGGTCCAGTTTTTGATGTTGAGCATGTTCAAAGCCATTTTTTCCAGCACCACTTATTAAAGAAGTTATCTTTTTCCAGTTGAGCGTGTTTGACATCTTTGTCAAATATAAGATGGCTGAGTATGTCTGGAGTTGTTTCTGTGTGTTCTAATCTGTTCTGTTGACCTTGGTGGGTTTTTTTGTTTTTGTTTTTGTTTTTGTTTTTCTGGGTGTTTGTTATTGCTGTTCTTGTTTTGTTTTGTCTTGTTTTGCCAGTACCACGCTGTTTTTATCACAGTAGCTTCAAGTCAGGGGTTGTGATGCCCCTGCCTTGCCTTTGTTGCCCAGAATTGCCTTTGCTATCTAGGTCTCTTCTGGTTCCAGATGAATTTCAGCATTGTTTTTTCTAGTTCCGTGAGATATGCTTTTAGAACTTTGATTGGAATTGCATTAAATTTGTAGAACGGTTTTGGAAGATGGCCATTTTCATTATACTGGCTTTTCCTACCCAAGAGCAAGGGATATCTTTCCATTTCTTCTTTAATTTTGGGGGGAGGTTTATCTTTTGTTTTTTGTGCCAAGGACCGAACCCAGGGCTTCCAGCTTGCTAGGCAAGCATTCTACCGCTGAGCCAAATCCCCAGCCCCACTTCTTTAATTTTTGAAGCAGTAATACATATGTCTTACTCTTCTCTTGTTGCTGAGACAAATACCCGACACTCGAAATGAAGGAAGGAAAGGTTTATTTAGCTCACAGTTACTGGAGGTTTCAGTTCCATACTATTCTGGGTCCAAGGCAGAGCAGCACAGAGAAGAAAGCAACCTTTCATGGCTGCGGCAAAGAGCAAGAGTGCAAGGGAGGGGTAGCAGCAGCTCAAGCAGCTAGCTTCTCTTCCCACCTTACATTGTAATGCAAATTACCTGCCCCAGGGTAGGGGAAGTACTCACACCTAAGGGTACTTCCCAGTATTTACCCACCTATGGGTAATCCCAGCAGTACTAAAACCCATAATCCCAGCCTTGGATCACACATAATCCCAGTGGATCCTGAGTTAACACAAACTCTAGAAGTCCTCACCCCATGACTGCATGAGGCTTTGGGGGGACAACTAGACACAAACCATAACAACATATAATCAACTTTCTCAGTTCATAGCTAGTATTGCTCCTCTCGCCAGCCATCTCTGTGCCTCTAGGAACTCTCCACTGCCCAGTCCACACCCTTTCTTCTCTGTTGCTGCTGGAGGCAGTTGGGCTCAAGTTTTCTCGCCTGCCTTCCTCAGTGACCCCTGGGATTCTAACCCAAAGTGCAGCACTCATCTCGCTTTTCCTCTGCTGCTCCCTCTTTCCTGACACCTTCTTCTCAGCTACCTAGGACACTAATTCCTCTGACAGTTGTCCCACGTCTGTGGCCTCCTAATTTCTTCTTGGCCTTGTGTTTTCCTTTTCCCCTCTCTGCCCTTGTTCAGGCCTTGGGCCTCTGCCTACACTTACTCCTTTGTTGTCTTTCACCTTCTTGGTTTAAAAGGCCCTCCCTTCTCTGATGTCTCCACTCAGTGAAAGTCATGGTCCTTACAGTACACTCAGGGTCCCCTCCATTCTTTGCCCCCAATTCCCACATCTCGCCTCTGTTCTACCCTTCTTTCTCTCTGTTCTTAACTCCATCCCAGCCACCTGGATCTCTTTGGTATCCCTACACTACCTCAGAAAGACTCCTACTTCATGGCCTTCCCACTGGTTGTACCCTTTTGCCCTGTCTTCTCCCAGGTACCTGTGCAACTCATTCTCCCCCTCTTTCCAATCTTGTTTCAATTGTCACCTTGTCCTTGAACCCTACCTACACTGACCACACACACTGTTTATGTGCCAACTTCCCACAGTCCATGCAATCATTATGTGTGTGAACGTGTGCTAATAAAAAGTAAAATTAAAGAAAAAAGTGTCTCAAGTTTCCTGGGGTGCACACCTGGAATCTCAACATCTGGGGAGGCTGAGGCAGGAGGATCACTGTGGCTACAAAGCGAGTTCAAAGTCAGCCTGAACTACACGGAGAGACTTTGTCTCAAAGAACCAAAAAACAAAACAAAAACCTATCAAACACACACACAAGAAAAAAAAAAAAAAAAAAGCTCCCTTCCTCTTTGCTGGCTGCTGCTCCTAGCCCCCTCCTCTAGAATGTGAGTCTAAGCGGGATGGACTGTGCTGTTCACTGTTAAACTCCTGGTTTTCAGGGCACTCGTTAGCACATTTAGTAAACACTTTCTTGTACTGAACAGATTAAATATAGTTCAAAATTCAGAAGATAAACGAACACCTGTGTCCCACATTCTTTCTCCACTGCAAGCAACTGTTTTTACTATTCTGGAATACTTTATTTAAATATTCTGTGTTTTACAATCCTTTAAAAAAATTTAAACGTATCATACTGCACACAATCTTCCCTACTTCCCTTTCTCTGGTCAGAGCTCATTTTGGGCATGGTGCCTGAATATTTCCTACCCTTTTGCCACAGCAGTTTCCTGCTTCGTATTGAGGCTCCCTTTGAATTCCCGGGCCCTTCTGGTGAAAGTCTGGAAGGTCTAGGGAGGAGCCTGAAGCAGCCGGCAACTCTGCGAGATCGTCTCTTAGCAACCATCTCCCAGAAGAAAGAGCGAAACTAGTACTATAGTGCCTTAGCAGACAATAAGAAAGCACCGCCCAGCACGTGGGGATGTAGCTCAGTGGTAGAGCGCATGCTTTGCATGTATGAGGCCCCGGGTTCGATCCCCGGCATCTCCACTCTTTTTGCACGTGGCGCTTTAAAAAACACCAGAGAGCGGATTCGGAACGGAGTAGAAAGTGTGCACAGGACTTCCCGGCTCTTCTCCAAGTCTCAGGCATTAATTTTCTTTCCTGGTCGAAGGTCCAAACAGCGAGAGCGAGAGCGAGAGCGAGAGCGAGAGCGCGAGCGCGAGCCCTCCACTGCCGTCTTGGTGTTTGTC